CCTGGTGTCTTTCTATGTTTCCAAATTTCCTCTTCTAAGGACACCAGTCAGATTAGATTAGGCCCCACCCTAACAACCTCATTTTAACTTCATTACCTCTTTAAAGACCTTCATTTTGAGGTATTGGGGTGCAGGCTTCAACATACAAGTTTGGGGGGAATATAGTTCAGCCCATAACAAGCAGCTGGGGCCACCCCTCCAGTGCACTTCCTCTGTCTCCTCCCTCTGTCAGTCCCTGGAGCTCTGTCCTCTACTTCCTTGTTCCCTCCACCCGCCCAGATGGCCGGCCCCTCCTCAGTAGGGGGATGCATATTTGGTCTTTTTATCCTCAGTACCCCACACAGTACTAGTTCATAGGAAATGTGCAGTAAACATTTACTGAATGAATAAGAAAACATGGCTCAAACCTCTAAGGGTATCATCATTTCCTAAATGAAAAGTTCCGTAACATTGTGTTTTTTAGCCAGCCATAAGCAGAGGAGAAGAACCACTCCGTATTTCCTCTGCCCACATCAGAACCCTCCTTTTGCATCTTAAGTCTCTCCCATTGCCTGTCATTTGGAATACCTGTAATGAATTTTATTTATCCCACCTACGTTGCTTTCTTCAGGGCCTGAACTCATAGTCAAATATTATTGACTTAGAAAAGAAGAAATGTAGAAACCAGGCTGAAAGAAAGGCTCATTGTCTTGAGGTTGGCAGTCTGTGTGGCTAACAGCAGAGTGATTTCTGTTTGTTTAGTCATTCATTCAGTAATTTCTAAAATGCCAGAAAAAAAATTAGAACAACACACTGTCTATACCTAAGAAGCTAAAAACCCACTGACTCAAGAAAACTGTTTACAGTGAGTAGAACAGCATGTCTCTGGTGTGACTGTACTGATATTAGTCCCAGAAGCTCCCTTGACACTCTCCAGCTCTACCCCACTTGGGTTAGGACAGGGTGGGACACATTTGGCATTTTGTCCTCACGGGAGTTGTTCGAACAGAGGTGGAATGACTGCTTGTCCTGCGGGCTGTGCAGCTGACTTAAGCATCAGTTACAGAATACAAGACCTGGAATACAAGAACCTCCACAATCCTTCCTACTTTTAAAATTCTGAAAAATTCTTTCTTGACCCTTGAGAGCATTTAGAAAGTATATGTTTTGGACTCTGGTTTTAACGTATCTTAAAAAGAAGGAAAGCCTCTATAAAGTTACCACAAAATAAGATAGAACAATTGTGATGGGCGTGGAGTCACACATTTAGTAGGACGCTGCTGATCAGGCAGAGCATGCAAAGAGATGGAGGCAAAGCCCAGGTGACCTGCAAAAGGCTGTGTCCACTCCATGAGCAGGTCACTTAGTTGACAGTGTCACCGTCTCATGTTAACATCAGTCACTTAATGGTGGTTCTTCCCAGCTGGCTTTGATTGTGGCTCAGCACCGTGATCGTGCCAATGTGCTGTCTGGCATTAAGATGACAGCCCTAGAAGAGGGCCTGAAGAAGATATTTATAGCAGCAAAGAAAAAGAAAGGTAAGCTCTCCACCCGTGCTCAGAAATAGATGAATTTCTGTTTCTAGGCATGTGATGTGACTTTTGGAGGAATGTGAGAAATGTCAAGACCCCATTCAATATGCATGGTAAAGATAAACGACAGAAGTAACAACCACATCTTCTTGTATGTGTGTGACCCTTTTTCCTTTCCAGATCACTTTTTTATTCTTTATCTGTGTGGACCATCTCCATCCACTGGGTATTTTTGTCACAAATTTTACAGATGAGGAAGCAGAGGACTAGAGATGAAGTAACTTGGTCATGTGTAGTTGGGAAATGAGGTTTATTATATCTCCCCTTGGAGAGTCACAGTCCACAATGACAAATAGTTCTCTACCGAAAAAAGTTTAGTTTGTTTCCAAACCATGTTTCTCAGAGTTTGTTGAATTGTTTGGCTTGTTAGAGAATCTGTGTATTTTAATTATGACTTCACCAATCATATTCTATTTACTTTGTACCTACTTATTTCCAGAACCCATGGGTCCTGTGTTCAATGGAATAATATATTTTCTACCTATTACAATTCTTCCACAGAATATTTTTGATATTGTAATTATATGCTTTGAATGGGACAGCCAATAAATATTTTCTCCTGTGTATATTTTATACCCATCAATGAATTTTTGCTGAGTAAAGACATCATGATCTCTACTTTTCTTTTTAATAGCAAGTGTTCATCTTCCACGCATCGGACACGCCACGAAAGGTTTTAATTGGTATGGTACTGAGCGACTTATTCGGAAACATTTGGCTGCAAAAGGCATCCCAACTTACATGTATCCTTTTGTGGTCTTAATAGCATGTTCTACCCACTCAAGAGAGAAACTGTGCTGCATTTGTGGCGTTACTATTTAATCCAAGGCCAGGTTGTCCTTGCCACATTCTTCACTCTGCCCCTCTTCAATGAGACAAATATCAAAAAGCACTTTCTAACTTGTATGAATCCAATATATGAATATACAGCCAAGGAGATAAATACACCACGTATTCATGGATGCCATAGATTAAAAGATATACGAAGGGAGGAGTTAATTGAACAGTTGCCATTTGGCAACATACTACATCTTGTTCACATCATCACTTCTCTAGAGATCCTTCAGGTTTGTGGACCAAGGCCTAATTCTAAAAACTTCACTCTGTTCACTAAAATAAACAACTAAGCAAACAAATAGGTGAACTATTTTATTTCTGAACTTTGATTGATTCTTGAAAGGCAGTGTGGAATTCATTTTGACCAGTAAGTTCTAATCTACGTTAGTTAGACTAGTATTTTCTTCTAATGACCTTGCTATATTAAGTTAGCATTGTTTGAACTATTATACTGAATTCAAAATCATTAGAAGAAGCTGAATTGACCCCCTAGTGCTATAATCATACAGAAACTTCACCTTTTTTCTTAGATATTTACTGAAATTAATTCACTCAGTGATGGTCTTCAAGATATTTTTAAATCACTACAAAATCTTAGTAGAAAAGTCATGTTTTACAGGCTTGCACAATTCAAGCAGTATCAGAAAGGTTTTAGTACATCAGATAACAACAGTAGTACTAAGAACTAACAATATTGGAAGTATTTATGATATGGTGAAAGGGAATTAAGGTATACTGCCTCTGGAGTGGTTATTTCAATAATTCCTAAACTAGAGAACTAATAGTTTAGCTAAAGTTGATTTTAGAGTGATAAAATATATCTTCCTTGATCATCCTTGTCAGATATTACTTTCCTAGAAGCAAGACTGCTGTCCTTCATCCACAGTCCTCCTCCTCCTCAAGACAGCTGGGGCCTTGACCATTGGCCCAGCATCAGATCCAGTCTTCAGCAACCAGATAATAAGACATTTGCCCAGGGCTACTGATATAGAGTATTTCAAAGAGGAATCGGGATCTGGTGGGCCTCTGAGATAGTCTGTTTTCTGAGTTCTAACTTTATTTTCCTGAATGTGTTACTCTGGCACCTGCAGTACAGGGACGCACAACTCATTTGGGAAAGCCCTTTGGCCTCGGTTTACACAGCTATTTGCATAATAAATTTTCTACCTCTAATAGTGGTATTGCTTTCTTTTCCCTGTATCTAGTTTTCTTCCTCTCCACCAGGCTGGTTTCTTTACAGAGGGAAAGTCTGTATGGATTAAGGAGATATGAAAGGTAACGGAACAGAGCGGCTCTGGGAGATGGAAGCACCTTCAGCCTTCTCAGTTGAGAAGACAGGCCTCGGGGGCAGAGGCCGAGAAGTGAGATTCTTGATCCAGGCAAGTGCAGCGCCTCCTGCCCTTCTGTTTGCACTGCTCAGCATCAAGATCTGGAAGAAAACACTGGTTTAGAGGCCTGTCAAATGTGACTTCAGAAAAACCAGAGGATCTCCTTTCCTACCCACCAAATCCAGTTTAGCTTCAAGAAATAAGGGAATTAAGAAGATGGCACAAAGCCAGCACAGAATGGCTGGTGGTATTGGGGAGGGCAGGGGACCAAGAACTGCCGGAGGAGGAGTCATGTGGGGAAGACTGTATAACTTGTAGCTTTTCACACTTTTGTGTGTGAAATCTCAGTCTTGGATGACTATCCAACCAGCCTAATTTCTGCTGCTTTGAGGCCTTCAGAACCCATGGTGCTGTAGAGGCTTCAGCAGCCTCTGCCCTGAGCCCTTGAAGTAGGGAAGCCTGGCTATTGGGGGGCTCAGAGCCAGGGACTTGGCCTTCTAAGGAGGTTTGTACCTTTAGCACTGGGTTTTACTATTCTATTTGACGCCCTCTCTACACATTCACCCTTCAACAATTTAGCATCCATGCTGAAGACCTCTTAGACCCTAAATTCTTTTTTTTTTTTTTCCTTTTTGTCTCTTTTTTATTGACCGGTAACGGGATCGCAACCCTCGGTGTTGCGCCCGCACCGCGCTCAGCCAGTGAGCGGGAACCGGTCTCCACATGGGATCCGAACCCTCGGCGGGAGCGCCGCCACACTCCCAAGCGGCGCACTCTCCAGTGCGCCACCGGGCCGGCCCAGACCCTAAATTCTTGATTCCTTAATTTTTTTCTCCTAAAACTCGCTGCATTGATTTTATCTCCCTACTGTCTACTACTCTTCCTGCCAGCCCTTAATGCATAAGTTATTATAACAACTTTAACCTCCTGATCTGCATCTTGAGTCTCTCCAACTAGAAGCAGAATTGGAACTACAAACAGGGAGACTATAGTGAAACCTCACATAATGCACGGGTAAGTTGTGCCTTTCAGAAGCAACCAAAGTACAAATAGATGGGGTATTAGCAAATGCAAAGAAACTTGATTAAGCTCTGTGCAAAAGCTGTGGGTCCTCCTGGACAGCTGTATTCATTTCTGACAGTGGAGTGCACAGGGCTAGCTGGGGATGTTTGAACATCTGAGAGAAGCATCATAGCAGGGAACCCACTCCCAAAGGGAGCATAGCTGACCTTTTCAGGGGCACAGTTCTTTTTGGGGGAGAGAGAGAGGCTTCTTTTCTACCCTCCACTGTCTACCGTGCTCCAGCCATATGGGATTTTCCTCTAGGTGGAGGCTTTGGGCCATGAAGCTCTGTCTCCCGGTGAGCTGGGCAGACAACACAGGAGGATCAGAAAACCCAGGTAACTCATTCTCCGTCTAACGTGGAGTCACCTCTCAGTGGCAGCCCCCTGCCTTGCCCGCCCACCTCTCTTAACTCTTCAGAGTCAGAAGCACAGCCCTACTGCATCTCTGGAAATCTTTCCTGTCTTTTGTAATCCCTTCACTCTTCCCCACCAGAGAGGTGTCATCCTCTGGGAAGGAAGAATGAGAGAAGCTGCCTACTCCATTTGTCCCAAAGGTTTGTTCTGTTTCTTCCGCACATTGTTGATGCCATCTAGCCCTCCCCTCTAAGGAGGGGGCCAAGAGGACAATATGAGATTTTATTCACGATGAGCTTCTGTGGACTAGCTTGTGTCCTAAACATCAGCATAAAAACTCTTGATTATTGAGACAGTGAGGAACTTAAGACTATTGAAATTTTTCTGTATGTTCAATCTCATATTTGACTTTGAATAAACTTTCTTTTACCCTGTAACAAGCCTACAACTTAACTTCTCTTTTATTTTTTGCCCATCAATCTAAACTACATTCTATTAATTAGCCCTCTACAAATATAGCTTGAATCAGCCATTTGAGAGCCCTAAACCATCTCTAGGCCACTGTGTTTTCTGTGTTTTTCTGTCTACTAAACTGAAGTTTAAAGTCACTCTAGCATTACTTAACTTCTACCATAATCTGCCTTATTTCCCAGAGACATCTGCAGTTTCTCACTAGGTCCTTGGCTTGTGCTAGTGCTTCTGCCTGACTCTGCTAAGCCCTTTCCCCAGCCCCTGTCATCCCCTATCAAATCTAGGCTTCTTTAAGAATCCAGAAAAAGGCATTTACTACATTCCCACCAAAGTAATCTCTCTGTGCTACCAAATGACCCTGGGTTTACAGCACATGCTTTGTTGCACTTTCTATTACACTCCTTGGTATATTTACTTAACCCTTGCCTAGATGCTAAGGTCTTTGAGAAAGATTATTTCTCATTTATTTTTTATGTTACACAAAGCAATTAGTAGGCACTCAAATATTTGTTGGATTGAAATGGTATGGGAATAACCGGCTATCAGTTTTGGGAAAAGTATTAGACTTCCACTGTGTATCATAAACTCTAGATGGCTTAAGTATTTAAATATAAAACTTGAGAATATAAGAAACAGCTTCTCATTTTTATGGTGTCTGACTAGCAACTGCCCTTTGAAGCTTCTCCCAACTTCTTACTAAAATACCAATGACATGAAGGCAAAGACTCAACCACGCTGAAAATACATGGCTAACCAAACAAATGCCAGAGCATGATAGGAAATGACACTAGCTATCATGCAAAGTTGGACTGAGATGGCATTTTAGGAAACAAAGATTGCTGGCCCTTGGCTCCCGTCTCAAGACCCTGGGTGGCTGGCTCCCTGGCTGGCCTGGTTGTGGGCACGGGTGGGGCTTGAGGCCCAGAGCCCCCACATCTCAGGACCCTGCCCAGAGATTTTTCGTGTTTCTGGTATTACTTCTTAAATTCCATGCTTCTATGTTTAGTTCCTCCAGGGCTGATTTTGGAGGAAGGAGCCCATGTTAATTTGACACGTTAGCAGGAACTAGAATGTCCTACTTCTGGTTCAGATTGTTTGGAACATGCAGTTCATGAAAACAGAAAATAAAAGCCATGTTGAGGATTTGGTCTTTACAGTAAAAGCAGTGAGAAGCCACTGAAACTTTCAGACTTTATTTTGAAAAGACTGCTCTGCCTACTATTTTGCCATCAAAATGGAGGGGAGCTAGAGTCAATACAAGGAAATGGCTAGAAAGGCTCTTATGATTGTCCAGGTGAAATATAATGGTGGTCTAATGTACAGTGATGGTGGAGATGGAGAAAGTGAACAGATTCAACAAGTACTTGAGAAGTTAAGTTAGATCTTGATGGCAGATTCAGTTTGGGGGGTATAGGAGAAATAGCAAAGATAATGCTTAAGTTGTGGGCTTACATAACTGAATTATTTATTTTCTTTGGGAGAGTGGGAAGTGGGAAGAAATTGATCGATTTGGGGCATGTAAATTTGAGGTGCCTTTGAAATATCCAGAAGAGGTGTCAAGTAGGCAGCCGAGTATATAGGCTTGGAGACATCTGAGCCAGAGATACGAGGAGATGAGTCACACATATCTTTAAAATTTTAGAAAATTTTCAGCTGTTGAATTTTCCTCTCATTTAATATTATATCTTACCCATTCTCCCTATTCTAAGCCCCTTATATCCAGGAATTAAATGTTGGAGTACCTAAGGGCTCATTACCAGGTCTCCCTTTCCTCACATTCTAAACTCTTTCTCAAGGCTGTTTCATCCATTTATACATGTGTGAGTCCCTAGGTATATCTGGCTCTCCCATAGATTCCATCCCAGAAGTGTAATATGCTTTGCAAATACTTGAAAGGAAGCCAACGAGCATTTGGGTTGTCAACAAGGAAGAATTGCACAGGTGCCACACAACAGTGTATTAGATAACAAACTACTGCACTTATTATAATAATAATGTACAGAAAATATATGCCAGTGCTAATAGCAAGATATCAAGATTGGCAAATGTTAGCTTTAAACAAGATAGAATTGAAGACAAAGCATCAAAGAAGGTTACTTCAGCTGATAAATGGTATCAGACAAATGTAATTGTCAACGTTTTTTACCTACAACTATAACTATATATATCATTATAAATTGAGGTAATTTTGTTTATATTAATACATCTAAGGGGAAAAAGACTTAAACAAACTTCAATAATCATTCCCAATTTTTAAAAATACTCAAAATAGTAATCGATGGGCATAGCCTAACATAAAATCTATATACCTCACTCCTACAGTCAATATTTTACTAAATGGTAAAACACTAAAGCCATTTCCACTATGGTCAAGAACAAAGCAAAGATACCTAATACCTCCTCTACTATTTAATATTGTCATGGAGATTATAGCTAACGCAAATAAAAAGAAAACAACTAGAGATATAAGAATTGGAAAAGAGATAAAACTGTCTGTTGTAGATGATATAATTGTATAATAGTATACCTAGAAACCTCCCCCAAAAAACCCCTCGAATGATTAAAAAAACTTAGTAGAGTAGCAAGATATAAAATTTAACATACAAAAATCAATAGTCTTCATATACACAAACTGTAACTGATTAAAAGATACCAAGAAAGGACACATTTAAAATGGCAACAAAAAGATAAAATACTCAAGAATAAAATTTACATAAAATGAGCAAAACCTACATAAGAAAACTTAACCCCTGATAGATACAAAAGTATATTTGAACCACTGGAAACACATTCCGTGTATTTGAATAGGATGTTATCCCTAAATTAATTTATAAATTTAATGCAATCCAAATAAAAATATCAAGTTTTTTTTTCTAGAGTCACGTGCTGAATTTTACACTGAAAAAATAAGCATTCAAGAACTGTTAGGAAAATTCTAAATACGAAAAGCTGTAGGGAGAACCAGCCTCACATACCAGATATATTAAAATATATGATAAAGTCTCTATAAATAAAATTGTGTTGTACTGTTATATTAAATTGACAGACACTTAAATAAAATTGAGTCCAGATATAGGCCCAAAAATGTAATGAAAATAGTATATGATTACAGTGCACCTTGGTTTGAATGTCCCCTTCAAACTTAATCCCCATTGTAATTGTGGAGGGTGGGAAATCCTATTATGGTAATTGAAAGCTGGAGCCCTGAAGAGGTGAGTAGAGTGTAGGGCCATGCCATAGTGAATGGATTAAAAACGGTGGTCATGAGCATGGTTCTGAGGGCTGTGAAAGGAGAATGAATGGGAAGGTTAGTCTCTCTCTGCTCTGCCATTTTGCAATGTGATACCCGGCCATCACTGAAGTCACCACCAAAGAAAGCCTTCACCAGATGTGTTCCCTGGATTTTGGACTTCTTAGTTTCTGAAACTGTAAGCAATAAATTTTGTTTTCTTTATAAATTATCCAGTTCTGTGTATTTTGTTATAAGCAACAGAAACAGACTAATACACAGGGGAATCTTAACTTACTGGAAATGATGGACTTTATAAATGGGCCGGCCCAGTGGCGCACTGGAGAGTGCGCCGCTTGGGAGTGCGGCGGCGCTCCCGCCGAGGGTTCGGATCCCATGTGGAGACCGGTTCCCGCTCACTGGCTGAGCGCGGTGCGGGCGCAACACCGAGGGTTGCGATCCCGTTGCCGGTCCCCGGTACGGGTGCGACACCGAGGGTTGCGATCCCGTTACCGGTCAGTAAAAAGGACAAAAAAGGAAAAAAAAAAAAAAAAAAAAATATATATATAAAAAAAAAAAAAAA